GTTGCACCAGAGATTTTCCGAGGAGAGGCTTTCAGCATGGCATCAGATGTCTATGCATTAGGAATGGTTATGTGGGAATTGTGTGTCGGCAAACCTCCATTCGGCAGACGTCCTTTCGATGGCGATTTAGCTTTAGCTATATGCGATGGATTGCGACCAAAATTACCTGAAGGATTACCTGACTTTTACCGCGAATTGATTGAACGTTGTTGGCATCAAAATCCCTCACAAAGACTAACTTCCAAAGAGATTTTGGATATCGTTGAAAAATGGTATCTAAAAAAAACTACCGAAGCGGAAAAACAACAAATGGATGCTTCTGAGACTTTTAGAATTGCAAATGCATCTAAATATTGTTCCGAAGAAAGTTATACGACGCATCCTTTGGCCGATTATACGAGTAAAATTTTACCGAATGTAGATCAGGAAGGTTGGTATTTTTCAAAATTTGTATAATTTAGCCCTAACGTGCTAATAACTAATATGAATTTATAAGGTCAACTTGAAATAAATAAAGGTAAATTTATCAGTTTGTCATATAATAATTAGTAATTATTCAGATTTTTGTTTAATGTTTTTTTAATTTCTTTAACGATGATAACTTAATTTCAAAGTTCATAATACTAATAATAAGCGTCCTCTTGAAAATGGGTCGGAAAATCCAAATAAACGAGAAAAGATATCAATTTCGAAGCAAGATGAAAAGAATGTTGAAAAAGGTATATTTATTTTAAACCATATTTTTAAAACATATGTATTTTATGTACAATATATATTAAACATTTTTTTTGCATACATGACCAAAAGGAAACGAAGATACATCAGAATATCAAACACGTCAATATGAATTAGATATCGGGAATCCCGATGATGAATTGAAATCGGTGGTAATTGAGGTGGAGAAAATCTAATAAGCGTCATCAAAATGAATTTTAAGTTAACAAATGTTTTAGGAAATGGATATCAGCTTTCAATTTGTAACAGATTTCAAACTTTTTTTATATTTCCTGTTTTAGTCATTTATATTCAAAATTATCATTTCTATTAAGATTAGGGCTTATGAATTCTTTTGCGATTTATTTCATTTCTATTTATTTATCTCGCATTATAGAAACTAACTTAAAATATATGTAAAATAAAAAAAAAATGAAAAAATTCACTCAAGATTAGGCCATACAAACAAAACTTTTTGGTTCTCATAAGTTCTATAATATGACCCGCCTACCCGGCTTTTATTTATCAAATTATAAATTTTTAAACATAAGTATTTTTTTAAACTTAAAAATCACAGACTTGGAACCCGGAATAAAATTTATATTGTAGATATTGTACATGTACGAAAAATTGATTTGGGAATAAAATTTATATTAGAATAATTTACGATAAAGCATTTGTGGATAGTGACTTTCACTCTGGAAAATATATATTACATATTGATGCTTTCATTGCTGACTTTGGGCATACTGACCCAGCAGACATAAAGAATCAAGAAACCTACAGAATACTTCTTTGCATGAGTTCAAAAATAACAATGATGACGACATGACGACGTTGTTTGACAATGATGACGAAAACGACGGATTAGAGGTCAGAAACGAATGCTTTTTCTATATTACAGTTCTTTAAAATACTCTAAAACAATTAAAGAAATTAAATTTGAGAGACAGAAATAATCAATAATCTGAGAAAAATTCACAGAGGGAAATTTGTTTGTGACTTTCATCATGGCAGTATTATAATGCGTAATACTCCTTAAATTGCTGAATTAGAACTCAACAAATACCAAAAATTTATAGAGTGCTACATTATATGATTCCAGAGGTGTTATATGAAAAACCATACACTAACGCTGCAGATATATATCGATATAGCTTTGGAATGGTAATATATACGAAATTTGACAGGTGGATGACCATTTGTTATCCCTATGAGAAAAGTCCCCCGGAATTTTATCGGAATTGATACTTAATACCCGGAACCATAAGGAATTGTTACGGAACCGAGAAGGACTGTGATTTAGACTTTTAGATTTTTTTAAAAAGAGGGAATTATTACGGAACCGATATCAAATACGGAATTCTTTCGGAATTTTAAGACTGACATCTTACGGAACCAATAAATTTTCGGAATGCGTACCGGAATTTATACTCAATTCGCAATGCAATACGGAATTTTACGCAATTTTTATAGAACTAAAACTAACAATCATAATGCAAAAGCAGTTTTTACAGAACCTATTACCGGATGATATAATATACCCGGAATACTTAAATTTATTCTCAGGACCCATAATAAATGGGCAAATTATAATTGTTTACAGATTAGCGGCGGAAATTATGATCGGAATATACTACATCATGATAAATTTTTTCTCATGTCTGCCAAATAGACAAATTACATCATTTATGCCTTATCGTTATCAACCTTTACCGAGTTTCACATTGGCGGCGTAAATAATTCAATCAGAATATGGTTAGTAACAATTTTTATTGGAATGTAGAATCACGTTAAGTACTCTGTTATGCTAATAATTTTTTGTGTGAAAAATTATTACGCGTGTCATAAACGTGTTTTTGTATTTCCAAAACAATTTGATAAATATATAAATAGATTGAAAATTTTGAAAAAGACGATTTTTATTTTTCATTCTTTCAAAATTCTTTCAAAATTATCTGTCAAGATTCAAACTATTTGGCTCAATCGTGTCTCTATCTGATATTGAAACAAATGTTAGTTTACCGCAGGCTTCTGCTTCAAGCACACACTCTCAAAACACTTTGATACAAAAACCAAAATATGACTCTAACGGAAAACAGTTGATAAAGGTTAATATCGTACAATATACTAATGTTGACCGCAAACTTGTCCTTGCGCTAAAAGTATTCATATTTTAACTATTTTTCTTTCATAGGACAAGTCTAATATATATTTTTTATAGTGAATATCGAACAAAGACCAGAGCATCTTTAATCCCTGAGAATACTAAGCAAAGTTGGTATGAAACGGCTGCAAAGCATTTTCCGTATTTTGATCATTGTGCTGGATACTGGCCTTTTGAAGAAGCATTACGCCAGTATATGGGAGGCAGATAATTTTAATTTTATATTTTGTTTAAATATTTACTATTTTCTAAGCTTATTTTTTCAACAGCATATTATAAGAGACGTCGTACAGCCAAGAAGGAAGATTCTGCATGCTGTCAGGAAGAAAAAGCAAAAATGAAAGGCCAAGTGATTCAAAAAAAGATACAATATTCCGAAAATCTTCCAGATGAAGACAACCATTAGCCAAAGACAATACGAAAGACAATTATGATGATGTTCAGGGTAATTATAATATTTTTATCTATATAATTATTGTTTAACATGGTTTTAGAAATAACTATATTAATAATGATTTTTTATCAAAAAGCGCAATACCAAAAATCTTTCTAAAAAACATAATCTGAGTAGGTATATGATGGCACAAATGAATTGACATTATAATTGGTCTAATTTTGCATTCTCATTTACTAATAGGAGAACGACCTGAAAAAGCAAAAAACATTAATGGTAGTAATACTCATCCAAAAGACAGAAATGTATAAATTTAATCAATCTGAAAATAAAAATTCAATTACAATATAATATTCCAAATGTTAAGTAAAAAATTCCGAATATTGACTCGGAATTATTCCATAAATAGTGAAAAAAGTCCGAATAATACCCCGGAATTATTCCATAAATTGTGAAAAATTCCGAATAATTATGATACGGAACGTGGAAAAAATTCCGTATTTGCTACGGAATTAATTCCGTCACGTCAAATTCCGAAAATATTAGGTAAAAATTCCGTATTTACTACGGAATTAATTCCGTCACGTCAAATTCCGAAAATATTAGGTAAAAATTCCGTAGTTTTTTTTCATAGGGCTTATTTGAACTTGACAAATCAGTACATGTACTAATAACATCAAAAAAATCTGATATTAAGTTTTTTATTTTCATTCTAAACCATTTTATCGTGATACGTAACACATGTACATAGAACAGTTCTGCAACATGATCAATTATTGTAGGGAGTCATGATCATGGTGAAAATTCTGGCCAGAATTTCACAGATAAAATCATAAAATATATAGTACAAATTTATTTCATAATATTGTTTATATAGCTAAATACTATTGATATAATTCTGGTATGATTCTTTTATTTCATATATTAGAAAATTATTGTGATATTTTCAGCATGATCCAATTTTAGAACTTCATAATCAACTTAATTATCTTTATGCAATATCTTTATTAATCATGCTATGAATTTATAGAAAAATAATTACGCTTATAAACACTGCTGATTCAAATATCAGTGTTAAATTACCATAAATCATCGCATTATAAAGACCACCATGATTTTCATCCGGCTCAAATTTTTGTTGATTGAAGTGGTCTTAATTTTAAGTCTGATCTGATATCACATGTCAAGAGATCCAGTACTACATCACATAGATTTAGTTAATTTCTCATCTTGGAGGATAGCCATTACCAAGCATAAATTGTTACTAGTAAGTTTTTTTTTTTGAATAAACAGAGCTACTACCGATATAAAGTGCAATCTTTTACTCGCTTTCGTTCCCTTTTTACAATCTCGCACATTGCTCATTTGTTTTTTCCTATTCCCCAAACAAAATTTACTGAAAATTATATCTAATAAATCATCATTATATTCCTTGCCGCTCAACTCTTTGATCTACTTTCTAAATCACCGCATATAGTAAAGTCATGTTAAATATCTCATTTATAAAGAGAGTATGATCCAAAATTACATTCCCGGATGGTTGGAATTTATTATTGGATTCTATTTCAGAGAAAAGACCAGCTACTAAGTAATTTGATGGTTTATTGAATCTATCTACAATGAAGATTGGGAGCTGCGTTTCCAATATTACAACCCTTTAGAATATCTCACGCGCATGAAAAATTTAAAGAGCCTCGGAGAATAAAGACAGAAATTGAAGAAATGGAATCGCAAACATGCATTTCTATGTCTATAAGCAAAAACTGAGAAATCCACATCCACTCAAATGAAATTTACATCAGTTGATGGCTCTTTATTTCAAAGTTAATATCAATCCCAACTTATACAGTCAAACGTTTAAGACAGATGGTCAATTAAATTTAATTACATAATTGTTTATATTATATAATAATTAATTAATAAAAAAGTGTATTTATTTTTAAATTGCAAATATAGTTAACTCTTTCTAAATATACATTTCAAGCTTATAAGACGCCTATAAAATTTAATCTCTCTAAATTCGCATTCTCTTTAAATACATATCTTGTCAAATTAATTTCTATAGTTCTGAGAAATGTGCATTTAGATAGAGTTTGTGGCTGTAGATAAAAAAATGAAATAATAAAATTAACTCATTTGACTATATATACTTAAATAAATTTATTCTTTTTATTTTTTTAAGACTGTTTTAATATAATTCATAGCAAATTGATTTTTTTGTATAATATTATATCTAAGCTAGATTTATAGTAAAGTTTTGACATATTACATCAAAATAAATTCTAAACTTAGATATACTCATGAAAATAAGAGCTCAAATTTATTGAATTATAAATTATTATTATAGTGGCAGAATGTTATCAATATGAATTTCTACAAGATTTGACATGATTTTAAATAGAAGGTTGAATTATATCCATATTCAAAATAGTATTGAAAGCCAAAGTTTAGTTGCCCCCGGTTGAATTTGTTTTCTGTAATAATCAAAAGATGATGATTATGATTTAATGTTTCTAAGGCATATGAGCAAGGTTATATATAGAGTGACCATTTAAAAGTTTTGTTCCATCCTTGACATTTCTATCACCTAGGTTATAACAAGTTTTAACTCATTTTTTTTGGCATATCCCTTTATAGCGTCCAATATTTTTGTAATTAAGTATGAAATGTTACATGATAAAAGATTATTAAAAACGATATCTTAAGAAACTTTTTTGATTGTTTGATTCAGGATCATTAACAACGTTGTTCGTGACAACGAAATTCTCAGTAAAACGTCTGATGGTTTGAATTATTGCATCATCAGTTACATGTTGTTTTTTCAATATTCTATTTAACTATTAAATTATTATTTTCATGTTTTGTAAATACGTTTATTTTAGCAGAAATTAATATAAGTATTTTATGTTTCATAATATTGAAGTTGAATGTTTTTTCGGCAATGGGATAGCTTGAAAGGTGTTCCATAAAAAGTCGGTCATTGTGGTACTATATTTTCAGTCTCATCGAATGAAAATAAATTTACATTAATTTTGCCATATCGATATTTTTATGAATAAAAAGTGCAATTCTTATAATCGTTGTTAAAATATCGGCAAGTTACACTACAATGCACATATGAAGCAATTTTCATACTTGGGTATCATTTTTCCTTACAGATAAATTTCGTAATATACTCATACAAACAAAATAATAGACAATTATATGTACATGCACATGTTATCAGTTGAGTAGCAATAATAGTCATTGAGGTTATATTTATTTCTTGATTCTTTTTAAAACATTTGTTTCTAAAAATAACTGTTGTAAATTTGTGAGAAAGGAACCCGAACATTTAGATAAAATAGGTTTTCTTGGCCTATGAGTAATTTTGATTATAATTTTAACGAATTATCGGTGACTCTGTGATCCACCTGTAAAAATCACTGTAATTACCAGTAAAAATTAGTGAAACCTCAACTTTTGTTAATGTTTAGATTTTCTAACAACCAAAATCCCATTAGTATTAGAAATAATGTCCCATCAAAAACATTTTTTGATATGCATGCACAAACTTGTAACTTGTAAAGTATTGCAGTGTTGAGATATTGCGTCCCAAAGTTATGAATTTTAAATAAAATTATAAAAATTTACATTTTAGTTTTTAGTAGATTCTTTTGATAATACATGTCTTTACCATGGCACATGCAATTGTTTAAAAATTTCGTATAGACCATTTTTATAATGTAATTTGTAAGATCACAGCTTGATACTGTATGTTTGGATCGATTAATCCTTTATTCACTATTATTTTGTTGAAATTCTCTGCTACAAACCCACTAATAAATTCGCACCAATATGTTGCCTTGTGGGGCATTCTACTCAAGATTAGAAAATACAAATTTTTTTGCAAGTAATTTCAAACACGATGTATAATATTGCCTTTTTACAACCAGTCATCTCACGCGTGAGCATTCTGAGCATGACATACATACCTGCAAAGAATCTTGAAACATTCTGACCACACAATGGTCACTCTTTGGTACGAAAAACATCATCCAATGCGTGCGAATAGAACTGTGACTTCAGCCCAAGATTTGTTTTCTGATTCTATACTCCGCTAGTTAACCCTGTTCGAATTGAGTAAAGGTTGACTCATCACACCTATGACTTAAACTCAATCCTTTTGTCATGTTCTAAACACTATACAAGACGCGCTGATTGGTATGCCAACAAAATCAGAGGCTTGTTATTTCTCGCATTGACTGAATAGAGCGTACGACGGATGGTTGAAAGTTGAGGCACCCTGGCATATCTTGTTGTTTTTATCCGCCAAAGATTTTCTTTACTCTACAAGGCATATCCGCCAAAATTTTTTCCATTGCGAAAAAAAGAAAATGTAGAATATGATGATATTGGTATAATTCGTTTAAGCATATACATGTATAATGAGATGACAACGTAATATTTCAAAAGCATACATAAATATCTGTGATGATGTTCTGTTCATACTATAGATGAATGGGTGTATTAAAACAGAGAATTATAATAAAATTTTCAATAATATTAATGATTATAGAAATCATTGAATTTTCTAGGCTAATTGCGTATCAATTTTGACAAACCGGGACGTAATAAAAAAGGTGATTTTATTCAGCTCATTTACATCTATAAATAATAATACATGAACTAAATTCATTGAATTCTTTGTTGCTCCAAATGAAAGCTGATAGAGAGCTTATAGATGCATTAAATTGATCTTAAAATACCAAATGCTTACGTAAATTTCATCCGATAATAATAAAGGATTGATTTGTCTTGCCAGTTCACTGTCGTGAATGAATATAACCATACGTATTTTAAATAAATTATTAAATGCATTTTAGAAAAATTTCAGCCTATTTTTTGATTAGAAAAGGGAATTTGCTTATGCAACTTTCAACGTTGTAGCTTAAAAAATGAAACTTCATTTTGAAAGGTCTTACTCTACGAATTTTTAATCATTAAGGATGTTCGGATCCGGTACGGTATCCCGACCATTGATAATCATAAAGTATCGGTATTGCATAAATTAACACGATATCGGGATCTCGTTCATCCGGGTTCTTTCGGGATTTTCATTCAGGTTTAAACGTCACCGAGCTATTTATTGTTCTCTTCACATGCATGAGTGGTTAGTTAGTTTCGCTGAACAAAATAACTTCGAATTTAACCGTTTCTCGTTTGATTTAAAAAAAGTGTTGTTTGGCATCAAACCAAAACCAACTTATTTTTAGTTTTAGGTTAGAAAATCCAAAGCTAACTGTCAATATAGTATGTTATTTATTTTGACCAAAGAGGACTTTTTGTGCTGTGTCTGCATAAAGTTTCGGAGTATATACAATATGCTTGTTTTTTGAAACGGTTTAGGCGCGCAGAATAAAATATGCTTTATCAGTTATGATCTGATGTAAAGAGTATATTTAACTGCGCATTAAACACATCAATCGGTTCCACTGTTACGCAGCGCGGGTTGTATACTTAAACGTTATTGAAGGAACCAAAATTTTGTTTATAGTTCTGTGCATAATTTTGCTCGTTTTTTGCCTGGACGTTTCGGTTTAGAGGAGATTTATTTAAAGCGGTTATTCGGTTTATTCTTATTCTCATTTAGAAGTAGTAACCATCGTGATAGCTACACAAACAACACAATCAATGTTGTGATTGATTCTTCATTGTCAACTTTTTTTTGTCGCCCTTTTTATCTGCTTACCGTATTAGCGTCGCTCTATCAATAATAATAATAATAATAATACTGCTCTTATTAAGCGGATAACTGTCTAAGGAGTGTTCGTTAGGTACACTCCGATTCTCGTTTGGCGTATTTCAGTACTCTGTGGTTTATTTTTGTCTCTACGAATTTGGAAAAGAAATTTGCGAACATTACCCTGCGATCGTTTAGAATTATGCGCGCATAAATAAAATTGTATCTTTATATTCAGGAAATGTATATAAACAAGATTTATTCTTTGCTCTTTTATAATGATTTTGTGCATTCTCAAATCAAGCGGCACTTATAGATACAATCCTCATGAATAATCCTCTACTGATGCCAACTTTTATTTCTCTTAATCTTATTAACAATAATAAGATTCAATTATCGTTTAAATATTCAAGTAATTGCAAGCATGAATTTATTTTAGACCCCTATGCATTCATGAATAAAAATCACAATGATATCAATAAGAAACCGGCCAACCGTTATATCTTATTCAGAGCTTGTTTATCAAACGCCGTGTCAAAAGAGCTGCATTGCACCGAATCATTATGCCTTTTATCCGCCTTAGCTAATTCGGCTAAGTTTGGATTTATATCAAAACTCAGTTCATATATAAACAGACGCTATAAAAATGAACTTTGTAATATTTTTTTTCCAATTTACAATGAATTAAAACATTATCGTTACAAAAGAAATTTGCTGCTAGACAAGTAAGAAGTCTTAACTAACTTTTTGGCGTGCTGAACTTTCTTTCCGATTGAAATTTATTGATTTTTTTCTTAAAATAGCAATGGCGATAGGAATCGGAGTTTTGTTCAAAAAAACAATTATGCATATCCATACTCATACCCAGCTCAATATATCAATATCATAGTGACGCCAGAGCACACATCAAATGGATCAAACATAATAATGCTTCCGAGAACAACTTCCACTTCTTCAAACCTCTCATTTTTTGACATTGGATCTGGATATTCTACGGAGCCGCGAGTGGATCTAATTAATTATCCAGTCGCTGGATTCCAACCCTTTACAAACAAAGAATCTTCCAAACTTAGTCTCTTTCGAAGTTCCAAATATTTAGCTTTGCAAAATTCTGAGGATTCAACCATTTCTGTGAATAACTCACATTCTTTTCACTCTCCAAATAATTCAATTTTTGATCCTTCGGAACCTTTAAGCATATCTACTATACAATGATTTTACAATAGCTTAAATTTATTAACATACACGGTTTGCAAAATATTTTCCGTTAAATCGACATAGCTATAGCGATAGAGCCGATAAATGATTGGCAGCTACATATTATATGTACATACATAAACGTGTGCGATCACCTGTTGTTTTGTTAAAAGGATAATTTGTTTTTCCAATCTTTATTTATCTTTTCAATTATATTGATTAATGATCATTTTGATACATTGCATACAATAACGATAAAAGCAAAAATTCCCAGCATAAATCACATGTAAATATTTATAAATGAAATTTATGTTAATTAAGGATTGATTTATGACTAAAATTAGACTCCATACTATTTTTTGTATTTTTCATACTGTGTCCTTCATATATCAGATATGTGTATTTTCAGATGAGCAAAATTTACGTAATAGACTTTTTAATTAAAATTCGAAATCATGTTTTATTCTTAAAATTTTGAGTTGTTGAGCTATCTTATTATCATTCTAGTAACACCACCACTTGGATGGTACGACTAGGGAAGGTGAGTTTATTTAGTGATGTAACTTTAGAAAGAAGATGATTGTACCTTTAGGGGGACGACGTACATTAAATGCACAATTGTAAGCTTTAGACAAATATTTTTGGTCAAACCAAAAGAACACTTAACCAAAAAAAAAACCATCACCAACATTTAAATCTAAACTTTATCGTTACGTGTCTCGAGCCACAAATCATTATTCGTATACGTATAATATTAATAAATGTACATGTACAGTACTGATATGCAAGAGAATTAAAGATGCAATGATATGTACTGTTCTCCTTTTTTTATACATTACATAGCGATAAAGCACTTTCTTTCGTTTAAAATTACGTATGACAATAGCATGCACTTATTATTGATCCACCTTGCTCCCCCTTAACTTTAAATAAAAATTTGTTTTCTAACAGTATGTTTTCTATTTACGAGTAACATTATATGAAAAAGTTTTTAAGAATCCAATTAATCCCATGTAATATCTAATTAAGTTAGTCATTAATATAATCATTAAAGAAATGTTCAGATGCTTGAAAAAAATAAAAAGAATCTCAATAGCTTGACACTAACTACATTAAAAAAGGTTGTGATCTGTCATTATATTCTCTTCACGAGCATTTTCGTAACACTCGTCCTCTTGTATCTCTTGCGGTTCGCCATTTGTAATAGCATGAGTAGCATTTAAGAACATCGGTCTTTGTAATGGCACTCCTGAGGATGAAGTACCAGCCAAAGGAGGAGTCATCGTATATTGAATCTGCGCAGGTTGTGAAGTTGATGTAGATCCAATTACATGTATTTCTGTATCTTCTTCAACCTGTGGAGGTGTAGTGAAAATTGTTCTTGCGGCAGCTTGCATTGCTGCTCCATCCGCAATTGTAACATTTGAATAAGCAAATGCCGCACTAGTTGGCGTGGTTGGAACAATTGCGAGTTGCTGTTGTTGCTGTTGTTGTTGCTGCTGCTGCTGCTGCTGTTGTTGCATGATTAGCTGTTGTTGTTGTTGTTGTTGTTGTTGTTGTTGTTGCTGCTGTTGCTGTTGTTGCTGTTGTTGTCGTTGAGCCATTTCCAAAGATCGACGTTCTTCCATACGTTCCATGCTAAATCTAGTTCCAGATTCCTCGACAATTCTACTTCTTATATGTTGTTGCTCTTGTTCCTCTTCGTCATCCTCCTCTTCGTCATCAACAGAAGACGAGGATCGTTTGGAAACAGTAGATTTCAAATAACTAGCGTCGACAACATACTCTCGTAGAATAAATTCTAGCGCGTGATTCTGCTTCTCTAGTTCCTCGATTCGGAAGGATAGGTCTTCGACTACCGGATCATCATGTGGTTTGGAGCTTTGAAGATGATGGCTTTCTGACATTCCGATTAGTGGGACAACGTCCAGTGATTCTCGCAGTTGTCTTTTTATTTTACGTGATAGACAACAACAACAGTTTTGAACTAATCCCCATGGACGTAGTTGGTCACTTCCTGAAAAATGATTAATTTATTTTTAATTAAAAAACAAATAGATTAATACTTGTATACTGAATTTAATCAATTACCGAATAAGAATGCATAAAATGCAGCGGCTATACACCATGCGCCACCTAACAATGCGAGTGAACCAAAAACCTGAACGTAAAGCGATAAACGATTAAATTGGGAATTTATTTGATGAATTTATACTTAAATCGAGCAATTATTTACTTACCGTATGATTTCTTTTTATTATGATTCGACAAGAATTAAATTAGCCTATTGATATTTTACGACACACACATGACTTAATTGGTAAAAATAAAAGATTACCTAAATTCCGTTTCCGTTCGCACGATAAAACTTTGAGGACGTACAGCCACACCTGAAAATGCTTGACTGACATCAATACCTGCTCCAGCCACACCAGTTGCAACTATCGATTCATAATATAAACAAAGAAAGATTGATTGGAATATTAAAAATTTGTATCGTATAGTGAATATTAATCAATCGTGTTTCTTACCGAAAGACGAAGTCAAATAAGGTTGCTGAATGTACTTTGCCGGGAACCCGATTGAATTCCATTGACTCAGTTTCATTGTTTCACGAATATTTCTGCTATATGAAAACATGCTCCATTGTGCATTCTATATGTAACGGTAAGATATTTAAATATACACCGTATCAATAAGAAGAAACAATTAATACTAGCTATAACTCGACTTTCTTATTATCCAATTAATACATACAGTCATCGGGTATGCATTCATTCCAGTAATCGCGGATAAGAAACTAGGATCGTTGTATTCAATTTTCTTTGAATTGTCAATGCCACCGCGATAGGGATCCAATTCTACATGACATGAAGAAAAAATTATGTGCGATCAATCGCAACATTTTGATGAAGATAAAAAAATCTTACTTATTCTAGTTACCTGGGTCAAAAGCAGTAAATGTCATTGTTAAAGCTGATATATTTTTCTGTATCTGCGGATCCGACACAACAATATAAAAGTTGATGCCATATAGTCCCGTTGCATTCGCATTATAATCGGCGATCGATAAATTGTTCATGGCTGTAAAGTATCCAGCGAACGATCGCATTGGTGAAACCCATTGTGGTTGCGTCAGATATTGATTACATGTTCCCGTTTTTGCGGCTTCGATTGTTCCGTCTATTTTTTTTGTTTTGATTATAAGGATGAAACTTTTAGAAGAAGTTTAGGAAGTACATCATAAGATAACGTTTCATTTACCATTATAATGGAAGGCACACCAAATAGCAAAATTGACAGTCGTTGCAACATAAATATCTAAAAAAAAATCACAAACAAATAAAACCACAAATGCCAGGGAATAAAAAAAAACCCAAAATACGCTCAATTGAACATAATTCTATAATTACCAGGAGCAGGGATATAATTGACAGAATCAAGAGTAGATTTCAAAACAGGCACATCATTGACAATATCCATAATCAAGATCACAGTGTAAAAGACCACTAAAGCTAACAATATGAGCATCGAGAATATTCGTAAAGCTATTAGTGTTAAGGGCTCGCTTTGACGATAGTGTCGGAATATCAAATCCGCATACATTATGTTATTGATTTTAGTTTGTCAAGTAATCTATAATATTATATTTTTCTATTATATAGATTTTGATAAATTTTCTTTTTTGTTTCAAATCGTTTGCTATTTTATATGAATTCTCGCGTCGTCGTTCTGAATAATTTTTGAATAATCATCGTCGTCGTGTTACCAAGATATATGTATGTCATTAACACGATAACACCACCATCACGCATTTACATACAGCATTAAATAAATAAGCGTAAATGCTACACAACAAATAAGTGGATTATTATGTTAGAAGTCACAAACTACCTGTATATTGAAATCACTATGTACGTTACTTCTTGTGTGTGCCCATCAATGTCTGTGCGTTTTTAAAATCCCCTCGTCTTTATTGTTGTGTAGTGGATAGATGCTCGGGTAACAAGAAAGTCTGGTGGTTTTTTGGCTATATGTGATTACAAAGATTGTGTATGCTGACTAAAGTGGACGAGTAGGATTTTATCCTTTCAAAGAAGGGAAATTTTAAAGCGAGGAAAAATAATTTTCATGTAATTGCAGAATTTGAGTTACACTTATTCTAAAATCCGTGCGCATGTTTGCAGATATGAAAAGAATCTATCGAAGAATGAGTTATGTGCGTCTATATTAAACAACTCTGTACTATATAGTCCAGTTTCCCTATTTTTTTTTTGTCACAAAAACACAAAAACTCATATTGGCATTAGCAATTCAATAATTTTCCCCTACTTTTTTGTTTTGCAAAGTAGAATAAGTAATTATTTCTGTGTATCTTTTTTTTATCTCGTTTTTTGAATTAGGGATACATCCTTATTGTGTTCGAAAGAGAAATAACAGAAAAAGTAGATAAAATCTGGATGCTTGATTATTATTACTGATTCTTAATTACATGCACTCGTATTCTATTTATATTCAGATATCATATATAAAAATATTTATAATATTAGCAAACCGTGTTGTAATATAAGAACTCTAAAGTTGATTATAAAAGAACTTTTGCGTCATCTCTGCGGAAGGTTGTGTGTGGTTGCTGTTTCGGTGCAATTCGTGCAGAGTTCATGCAAATAGAAAAGTAAATAACATAAAATCAGAAAACTCATTGTTGAGCACGTATTCTTTCAAGATTAAAATAAGCAAAATAAAGAAATTAACTTTAAATCTTTTTTTTCACTATGCATTAATAATTGAATCCTTGTTATTTTATTAAATATTTTAACAAACGAATGATTTACATTAGTACATGTACATACTGTTTCTTTTATCGAAGTCAACTAAATGCTATGAATATGATTATGCAAAGATGAAATTAGCAATTCAAATTATGGAATGTGACAAATTTTATTATCTATATTACGAATTATTTTGCTTAATTGGAAGGTCAAAAACGATTATTGAAAGTTAATCTATGCAATACAAAGCAAAATCAGATCTTTTTAATAATATATTAGTATGGGAGTGTATTGATAACATTAATCCAATTACTTGATAAATTGCAAATTTTGCACAAGCAGTACCTGAATTAACATAATTAGCATGACATATCTTAATAATTCAACATCATCTGTAGCTTTTGGTTAGTTTTTACAAATATTCTTAGCAAAAAAAAATTAATTAAGTAGTAAGCATATTTTTAAATTAGTTTATATTTATAGTAATTATAAATTACAAACATCTCCAGATAATCAAAA